CATCATGGCCAGAGATAGGAAGTAGAAAATGGAAAGACAGACCACTAATTAATTACTCCAGGGTTTAAGAGGGGGAAAAACATTCACTGATCACCTACTCTGTGCCAGGCTTTTGTCATTAGTGCATTTAAACTTCACAACAATCCTGCAAAGCCAGTATTATTGTAACTACTTTGCAGGTGAGAAACTGAGGCTCAGAAGTGAAGCAACACATCCATGGTCACACAGACAGACAGACAGACAGACAGACTCAAGAGCTCATGTGAGGAGGGAACATCTTCTTTCTCCCTGCTCAGTGTAAATAGACTGGATGCTTGGAACAAAACCAGGTCTCACTGTCCCCTGAAGGTCCTGTTTCAGGACAGATGCTGGGAGGACCAAACATCAAGCAGGTCCCACCACTTTATCTCTTTCCCACAGCTTAAGGTTTCCTAACAGGCGGACACACAGGCACCTTCCCAGGGCAGCAGCTGGTGCCTGCCCCCGCCTTTACCAAGTCAGGTCTTGTCTGAGGCCCTAGAACACCCACAGGGCCACCAAACCGGATTTTCTTTTGAGGCTGAGAGAAGGGAAGGAGGAGAGAAAATGGGAGGGCCTGTGGTCTAGAGTCACAGACCAGGGCCCCACATGTATAACTGCCTCCTTCCAGATGGGCCACCCAGCGACCACTTATTGCCAGCTCCATGCTCTCCCAGGACCTGTAATAGCTCAAGAAAAGTGGATTCTCTGAGCTTAAAAACGAGAGAAGGTAGTGGGAGGGCAAGAAGTCAAGTTCTGGCTTGCCAAGAGGGCCCTGGCCTCACCTCAACCAAAACTGGCACAATCTATAAGGGATGCCAATTAAGCCAGTTCTGATTTCCAAAGTCATAGAGCTGCCACAGTTGGCTGTAAGCAGAGGACCCAGGGGACAGAGGAATTGAAGAATGCAACATTGCTGTTCCAGATGTTTCTCCCTGAGCCCAGTTTAGATCCCTTGCTCCCCTAACAGGAAGCCAACGCCCACGGGATGTCAGAGAGCATAGCTCCTCACCTCATCTGGCCTGCAGACTGAGCATGGTCTGGGTGGGAAGCTCTAGCCTCAGGAGGCCAGTCTTAACAACCACATGAGAAAAAGAGAGAAAGTAAGGGATCCACCTTTCATCATCTCCTTCAGGCCAAAAGACCTGGCATTCAACTTGTATACTTCTTTCCCTTCCTGATCACCTCCTCTAGGCTGCAGAAGGGACACTTAACAAGTTTGCTCTTCCTACCCACCAAATGATAGGAAGGGTAACAGCACTCCTCCCACCCTTCCCTGCTGAGAACACTTCTTTCCCCTTACCTGGGCCCACCCAGCCTTCAATGCCCACCTCAGCCTCCAGTCAAACCACAAGAACTAATGTTGCCAGCATCTCTTTCTGTGCCTATGCCACCCACAGGGTCACTCACTGGGTGGCTGCCTTCTTGCCTCTGACTACTGCACAAGAGCAGACAGGAATCCCTCTGTCTCACTAAACCTTCCCTGCACAATAGGCTCATATGACAGATAAGAGTAGAGGCTAATCACTTCTCTTAGACTTCAGTTTACCTATCTATATGACAATGGCCATCTCTAGGGTCACTTTAGCTTTCTGACTTGGAATGTCTATAAGTAATAAATATTGTGCATTTATTCTACTGCAGGCCTGAGGGAGAAAAAGGTGAAAAAGCCTGATCCTAGTCCAAACCTATCATGCTAATGTACTAGTAATGACAACACACTTTTACCCTTCCTGTTAGCCTTATACAGTGCTGATATAGTAAAAAGTGCTGAACTAAGCTACGGAAGGAGAAGGCAGGCAGGTTTGTGCTAGGTATCTTCATCTGATCTGGTGAAGGTTGTGGAATGTATCCTGTCCTGGGAGTCTGAAACCCTAGGTTTAAGTCCCAGTTGTGTCACGAATACACTTGTGATTTTTCTAATTCTTCTTCAGTACTGGAAGTTGGACTTGGTGTATTCAACCACTGAGCTACATACCAACCCTTTTAATTTTTGAGACAGGCCTCAAAGCTTGCTAAGACTGGATTCAAGCTTGTGATCCTCTTGCCTCAGCCTCCTACTTGCTGAAATTACAGATGTACACCACTGTGTCTGGCATATGCTTGTGATCTTAAACAAGTTATTCTCCTCTCTAGGCTTCAATTTTCTCTTCTAAGTAAAGTTTAGGTAAAGGTTAAGCTGATTGATTTCTTAAGATTCTTTTCAGGGGCTGGGGCTGGGGCTCAGCAGTAGAACACTTGCCTGGCATGTGTGAGGCACTGGGTTCGATTCTCAGCACCACATATAAAAAAATAAAATAAAGGTCTATCAATGACTAAAAAATATTAAAAAAAAAAAAAAGATTCTTTCCAGCTCAGTCTATGATTTTATGATCTACTCAGGTCTGGTACCTAACAGCTACTTGAGCAAGAAGACTGATCTATTTTCTTCCCCGTTCCTCCAGGCCCTGGCAATTACCAAAACTTGACTTTTCTTGAGACAACCTTTGGTCCAGGGTGGCTGAAATGGACCTTTACTCTGAAGCCAGAGTCTCCACCATCTCCACCATAGCCATCAGTGCTAATGTTTCACTTCTCTGAGACAGCACATGAACTCCTAGCCCTCAACCACAAGACTGGGTTCAAGGCAGTCACCCTGAAACTTCCCATAACTTCCCCTCTTTGGCCTTGGGCAGGGAATTACTCTTGGCTTTTTTGGAACCACAATTCAAACTAAACAAGGAACACCCAAGCTTTCTGATACACAGATTTTATTGACCCAAAAGCTCAAGCAAGCAAAGCAGAGAGAAAGGAGCAGACCTGGGATCCCACTTCAGCCCCAGTCCTACAGAACCAGAGATGCAGAGGGCGTTTGCAGAGCCACATCCCGGGTTTGTGGTTAGTGGGGTGGGGAATACAGATGTCTGGCTGCCTGGTTGGTGACTACAGCCAAAGGGAGGTACTCCCACTGGGCCTCTCTCTGCCCACAAATACCAGAGGTATGCCCTCATTTTTCTCCTCATTTCTCAGACCCTTAGAAGGAAAAGAAAGGAAATTAACATTTTCTGGGCCACCACTTGTGCCAGGCACTGTGCTAGGCAACTTTGTATATCAAATTCTCATTTAATTCCCTCAGTAATGTTGGAAGCAGATGTTATGACTGCCCTTTACAATGAGTAAACATGCTCAGATCTTGCCCGAGGTCTCAAAGCCAACATATAAGATTCCTAAGTCCAGTCTTTTCCCACTACATTACACTACTCTGCATTCTGAGATCTGGTTAACAGCCTGGTAAGCATGTAGTAGGAATTCTCATGTTCTATAACTCACCAACAAATATTAGGTCTTCCTTTCAAGACATCACAATGAAACTGCAAACTCCTTTCCTAGTTCTCAAGATCCCACCCTTCCCTGTACCCTGGTCCCTGGTGACTGCACCCCAATTCAAATTCACACCTAAGTTCCCTTTAGGTTCTCACAGCGAATCCCTGGGAAACTGGGACAAAACATCAAGTCAGGGTGAGAGATGGAAATGAGGGGCACTCTCTGAGTCCCGGACTGAACCAGCTGCTTTGAACAACTGGGGAGAAGCTGAAGGAGACAGATCCAGAGGGGAAGGAGGAAACTCCCCTTATGGGAGGGGCCTAGATTTCTCCTAGAGAGAAGGAGGCCTGGTGAATAAGAGGCTTTGGGGCTGGAGAAAATCCCGGAAGTGACTTTTTCAGGGCTGCTTGTGTGGAGTTGGGTTCTTAGATAGTCAAAGCACTAACAGAAGTCATAAGAGGAAGGGAGCATTGGGCAGTCCTAACTGGTCAGAGAAAGAAAGAAGACCTTCTAGAATAGGGTCATTGCTGGAGTAGGGTCTCCACTGGTGACCAAAGGGCTCTCTGTTGAATGGAAGGCACATCAGGAAGGAGGCTTGTCAGTTCTGTACATGGCACTAGTCTTGTGTGACACAACATGTGGGATGAGAGTGGGGTCTGGAGTCTATCTTCCCTACAGACCACCATCATACACATATGCTCTCTGGGAAGACTGGTTCTTTGGGGCTGCCCAGCCTACCCAGGTTGGAGGGAAGATGGTGCTACACTGCTTCAGCTTTCTCTGCCTGCCAGCTGGATGCTTTGAGTGTTCTAGGATGGGGCACCTTGATGTGCTACAACATGAGCAGGTACCTTGCTTTCTCCCTGCCTACCCTCAGAGAGGGTGTGTACATTCCCACAGCATCCATGGAGTCTGCCTGCTGCTAGCTCCTGTAGTTGAGGGTCTGCCCAATAAGGTAAGGTTCTGCTACCCTATAGGTACTGGAAAATGGAGGAGTGTCTGCCCACCTGTTGCCAGTGACAATGGGAAAGCTGCCTTTGATGGGGTAGGGGAACACCCTCTGAGCCTTCCATGAGGGGAAAGAACCAACTGTCTCAGGATGGGATTGTCTGTGAAGGAGCTGACCAGTGTCAGTCCATCCAGAAGTCTGTGTCTTAAAGTAAGGATCAGTCTGTCTTGGAATGGGACAAGAGCAAGGCAATGGGTCCTTTTCAACCTGTGAGACAGGGGCTCTGTGGTTCTGTGAGGGAGGGGAGAAATGGAGAACATCTGTGTTTTGGGGGGTCCCAAATCTGTGAGCCTGCCCAGAGTTGGCAAAGTCAATCAGCTTTAAGGTCATAGTGGCAGAGGTGGATTTAAAGCAGGTGCTAGTTGTTGTTCCTTATTTGGGAGGGCACTGTGGGTCCTTCCTGTGGGACGGATCAGTTTGTCTAGGGGATAAGAATAGGGAAAGAGGAGGATAGGTGGGCTTGTTTGCTCCTAGGTCGGAAGTAGAATTGCCGAGGGGGTGGGTCTGGGGGGGAAGGGACGAAGTGGGGTGGGGCAGGGAAAAAAGGGGTCGGTTGTCTAGGGTGCAAGTCGATCGGTCGTGAGGGCAGCTCTGCCCGCGTCCAGGCCCATCCCCGCGTGAGTCCTGCGCCTAGTCCCAACCCTTGGCTCAGACCCCCGGCGCTACTCACGCGCTCTCGGCGCCCTGTGAGCCCACGATGAAGCCGAACTTGTCGATGCGGCGCTCGGCGAAGCCGTTGGCCTCCGAGTCCGAGCCGAGAGAGCTGAGCTCATCAGTTGTTGCGGAGTCGGGGCCCTGGGCCAGGTTCTCCCGAGTCCCGGACAGGCTCCCACCGGCCGCGGGCGCGCGCGGCCCATTCTCTCCGCTGCTCTTCGCCATCCCGGCCGCGCCCGCCGCCTGAGCCCCAGCGGCCACCTCAGCCACCTCAGCCGCCTCAGCCGCCTGGCCTCTGCCGACGCCGCCGACGCCCCGCCCACGCCCCGCGTCCATTGGCCACCGCAAGGCCCGGGGCGGGGCTACAAGCCCTCCGGAGAGCTCCCCCCAGGCCCGATGGGCGCCGCGGACCCCGGGCCCCGCCCACCTCCCCCAGGCTGGCGCCAACAGGCCCAACGTGAGGGGGCGGAGCAGCCGTCACCCGGAGTTCTCCCCCGCCAGGCTGCCAATCATGAGAACTCACCTGGAGGAGTTCCTCTGGCTTTTCCGGTTGACGCGCGCTGGGCCTGTCCCCTCCAGACCTTGCAGGCTGAAGGCCTAGGTATTTCCCCAGGGATTCCGCATCTGCATCTTGGGGCCTGCTCCTTGAGAGACTTTAGGAGCATGGGTGGGGATTGTTTTTACTTAGTGAACTCTTGTCTCAAAATTTAAAAAAATAAAAAGGAGGAATGTAGATCGGTGGCAGTCAATCCCCGTGGGATGTGGGGGGAGTGAGGGGAGGCCACATTTATTGAGCTACGCATTAATTTTTTTGGTGGGTGGGACTGGTGTTTAATCCCAGAGATGCTTTACTACTGAGCTCCCCGCCCCCGCTTTTTGAGACAGGGTATAAGTTGCTCAGACTCACCTCTAACTTGGTATCCTCCTGCCTCAGCTTCCCTAGGGATTGGGATAACAGACATGCACTTCCATGCCCAGCTCTGATAAACTTTTTTTTTTTTCAGCACCTTTATTGAGATATAATTATCATACCATAAATTCACCTGTTTACAGCGTAAAATTCTATGATTTTAACATATTTACAAAGTTGTGCAACCATCACTTTATTTTTAGAACATAAAAATGTTATCATCCCCAAAACATACTCCTACCCATTAACTTCCTTCCCCAGTCCCTGGCAACCATTAATCTACTTTCTCTCTATATATTTGCCTTCTTTTAACATTTCATATAAACAACCCTGTGTGGATTTTTGTACCAGGGATTAAACCCAAGAATACTTAACCACTGAACCACATTCCCAGCTCTTTTTTTATTTTGAGACAGGGTCTCACTAGGTTGCTGAGGCTGGTTTGGAACCTGCCATCCTCCTGTCTCAGTCTCCAGAGCTGCTGGGATTACAGACGTGTGCTATGCTACCACACTTGGCTCATATGTGGATTTTGTGTTTAGATTCTTTGTTTAATGTTTCCAAGGTCTGTTCACATGTAGCACTTATCAGTACTTCATTTATTTTTATTTTATTTATTTGGTACTGGGAATAAAACCCAAAGGTGCTTTACCACTGAGCTACATTCCCAGCCTATTTATTTATTTATTTATTTATTTATTTATTTATTTGGTGTACCAGGGATTGAACTCAGGGGCACTCAACCACTGAGCCATATCCCTACCCCAATTTTGTATTTTATTAGAGACAGGGTCTCACTGAGTTGCTTAGCACCTCACAGTCGCTGAGGCTGGCTTTGAACCTGCAGTCCTCCTGTCTCAGCCTACTGAGCTGCTGGGATTACAGGTGTGCACCACTGCACCCAGCATATTTTTATTTTTTTGTTTTGAGATAGGGTCTTGCTAAATTGCTTAGGGCCTCAATAAATTGCTGAGGTTGGCCTTGAACTTGCAATCGTGCTGCCTCAGCATCCCTAGTCTCTGGGATTACAGGTGAGTGCCACCATACCCAGAAGTATTTCATTCCTTTTTATGGCTAATAATATTATTGTATGGATATAGTACATTTTGTTTATCAATTCCTCAGTGATGATCATTTAGATATTTCCATTTTTTGGTTACTAGAAATAATGCTGCTTTGAGCATTTAGGTACAAGCTTTTCTGTGGACATACATTTTCATTTCTATTGGGTGGAAATTCCTAAGAGAGGCATTTCTGGGTTATAACATTAACTCTGTTTAACCATTGAGGAACTGGAAAACTGTTTTCCAAATTGGTTGCACCATCTCTTGTAATCTTTTAGCAATAAGATATATACTATTGTTGGTCTATACCTTAATCCCACTGACACAGGAAGCTGAGGCAGGAGAATCAAAAGTTTGAGGCCAGCTCAGCATCTTAGCAAGACCCTCAGCAACATAGAAAAATCCTGTCTCAAAATAAAAAATAGAAAGCTCTGGGGATGTAGTTCAGTAATAAGTGCTTCTAGGTTCAATCCCCAGTATCAGACAAAAAAAGATATATACTATTATTAATCCCATTTCACAAGAAAAGGAACTAAATTTCTCAGAAGTAGTCCATTGAGCTAGGTGTTGTGGTACATGCCTAAAATCCTAGCAGGAGAATAGCAAATTGGAGGCCAGCCTCAGCCACTTAGAGACCCTGTCTCAAAATAAAAAATAAAAAGGACTGGAGATACAGTTCAGTGAAGCACCAGGTTCAATCCCCAGTACCAAAAAAAGTAGTCAGTCGCCTAAGGTCTCAGGATTAATTTATGGTAGAGACAAGATTTGAACCCAGCTCTTACTGCTTTTATTGGGAGAGACACACCAATTTTTTGTTTTGGTACCAGGGATTGAACCCAGGGGCACTTAACCACTGAACCACACCCTCAGCCCTTTTTGTATTTTATTTAGAGACAGGGTCTTACTGAGTTGCTTAGGGCCTCCCTAAATTGCTGAGGCTGGCTTTTTTTTTTTTTTTTTCAATTGATGTTTTAAAATAAATGACAGCAGAATGCATTACAATTCCTGTTACACATATAGAGCACAATTTTTCATATCTCTTGTTGTATATAAAGTATGTTCACACCAATTCATGTCTTCATACGTGTACTTTGGATAATGATGTCTGTCACATTCCATTGAGGCTGGCTTTGAATTCACAATCCTCCTGCCTCAGTCTCTGGAGTGGCTGGGATACAGGCATGTGCCACCATGCCCAGTAAAAGACCAATAATATCTATATGGTCTTACCCACTCCGCAAGTAGCCAACTTCTGACCCCAGAGATTGTTAATGATATTTCCTCACCTAAGTCTAGTACTCTATGGTTTAAAACTTACAACTGTGGTATGATATGACTCTCCCCTATAGACCAGAGGGGTAGACAGGCCCAGAAAGGGGAAGAAATTAGAAAAGTTAGCTCTGAGGGGCAGGGACCAAGGTAGGAAGCAAAAGGCCACAAAGCAAACTCCAAGAGGTCTTAAACCTTGATTTTGACAGATGTTTCCTTGACACCACATGGCCCAGATATTCCTAAAGTCTTTACTGTGCAGTTTTCACATTCCATGGGCTTCTGGTTTTCCATAAACAAAAAAGATATACACTATTTTTCAAGTGCTTTCAACACTCAATAGGACAATGGCAAACATGGGAATGGGCCTAGGCTGTTTTCATCTTAAACCCTCAGTCTGGAAGGATGTATCTTCTAAAGGTTCTAGAGGGAGTGGTGGGCTCTAGGTCCCAGTTTCCAGGACAGGCAGAGTAGGCCTTGCATGGGGGCATAGGCCTATTCCAGAAAAGGGAGAGAAAGGAACCAAATATACTTGGGAGCAGATGTGAAACCCCAAACACAGCAAAAAATCTACAGCCCTTGGCTTCATAACTTTGGTCTTAGGGTCACACCTCAAACATATTTTATTGAGCCCATAAGGAGACATTTTCCTAACAGTACTTGGAATGTGGGTAGAAGCAGGTTAAAGACACCAGGTGTCTATCTTTGAGAGACTATTTACACCTTATTTCAGTTAAAATCTTGATGCCCCATCTTCTAATTATCTTAAATCAGCCCACTCAGGATTCAAATTTCTGCTGTGTCCTTGAGCATATCACTTCTCTCTGAGGCCATTTTTTTTTCTCTTCCTTCTTTTTTTTTGGAGGGGGCGGGTGAAGGGTGGGGAGGGGATAGAGGATCTCACTGTTGCTCAGACTGGCCTTAAATTCCTAGGCTCTAGCAATTCTCTTGCATGTCTCCTAAGTAGCTGGGACTACAAGCACACACTATCATATCTGGCTTCTCTGAGGCCATTTTCTCACTTGTAAAATGAATTACTGAAAAAATACCCCTTTGGAGGAGTCATTCTGAAACCTCAGTGTGACAATATAATCTAAGCATCTGGCACATGGAGTTGCCCAGTAAATAGCAAACAGGAATAACAGCATTTGTAGTTTGCAAAGCACTTGCAAATTCATAATTGTCTTATTTCCCACCACAGCCTGTGGCCATGGTATGGAAGTTAACTCAAATCTAATCAATGGCATATTAGAATGCTGCTTTATGGCTGTACCCCTCAAAATTGGGTGTTGGGTTTTTTTTTTTAAACATTTATTTAGTTGTAGATGAACACACAGTATCTTTATTTTCACGTGGTGATAAGGATTGAACCCAGCACCTCACACATGTGAAGCAAGTGCTTTACCACTGAGCTACAGCCCCAGCCCCAATACTGGGTGTTTTTATATAAAATTGCTTTTCAGAATTTCATTTTCCTTTTCTGAAAAATAGGAATTACTTTGTGTGTCATGGACTGTTTCTGAAGTCTTGAGGATATATTAATTCTTTTACTTCCTTTAAATTCTAGAGTTCTTTATATAGGTATATATTATGGGCCAGGCATTACTCTAGTGAACAAGAGATAAAGCACTGGGAGAGGAGCTCAATGGTAGAGCACTTGCCTAGCATATGTGAGGCCTAGGGTTTGATCTTTAGCACCATTAAAGAGATGGGGGTGAGGGAGAGGGACAGAGAGAGAGGTATGAAAGTCCTGGCCCTAAATGAACTTATGGTCCACTGGAAGAGGGAGAACATGAATAAGCATAGAACATTTGTCAGTATGAAGAAAAGAAAGCTGGGTGAGACACAGAGAATACTGGGACAGTGATGGGAGTGGGAGGTGGATGGAAGTGAGGGAGCCTTTCTGTGGGAACTGGGAGAACAGTATACAAGAAGCAGAGCAGCAGGTACAAAGCTTCTCCTTGAAGAAGGAGGTTCATAAGATGATGTGGTTAGGTTGGAGTGAGCAGGAAGGGGGAGGGCTGAATAAATGAATGAGAGTCCCAAGTGCAGTG